TCAAACAATTCCATATCCTAACCAAGAAGAAAAATATGTATCGTATGAAGAAATAAAAACAAATAGCAAGTGCTAAGGTCACCTGAAATAAAAGTAAAACCGCTTGGAAAGTATATAAAAAGGATATTATGTAATCATTTCATGAACAAAACGGCTTTCAACTTCTAAGCTAATTTATTAGTCATATTACTAACAAAGAAAGAGAAAGAGAAGCAAACCCTCTAGAAATACCACAATCGTAGAAACCCATCAAACTAGGTCACTCAGAATCTATTTCATTTAAACCATATAGAATTATAATACAATGGCAGATTTTATTTATTTATTTATTTATTTATTTATTTTGTACTTCAAACATGTTAAAGAGGTCGAATCTCTTTTAGAGAAACGAAGGCATACATTCAGGAAATTCAGTTGACTAAATAATGGCTTAAAGATCTTATACTACTGGCAGAGTGGAAAATAGAAACAACCATAGACATTCAAACACCCAAAAACACAAGCAAAGTCAAGACACCAAACTCTATGCTTTTAAAAATGACGATTTTTTCCCTAAGAATATGCTAAAAACACCAACATGCAAGCACATTAAAGACATGTTTATAAAGGATAGGAAAATTATCTAGAAAATCAGAAGATCTACAGCAAAATAAGCAAATATTTAAGAATGGCGGAACACCCACAAACAAAATAGATAAATAAGCGTAAATGATAAGATAAAAGGAAAATAAATACCCTTCAGAGTGTAAAATAAGGAAATCTAAGTACATAAGCTTGAACACACGAATACGGTTAACATTAAGCGACGAATGACGCAGAAATGTTACAGCTTTTTAAGATGCTTGCTCACAACTCAAAAAGATGACATGGAAATCATTTTTAGCACTAAAAAATTGAAATAAGATAAAATAACAAGGTTTCAAAAAGCATACTGAAGTGACAAAAGTGTTCTGCTATACTACCTTAAAAAACTAGTCTGTTGGTGTATAAAAAAGTTACGTAAGAAAATAAAGAAGCTAAAAAACGTATACACTTCAACGTTTACTCAAAACTAGAAACAAAAACAGGAGTAAAAATACCCAGATCATATACTTGAAAGGGAGAAAAACCCATGAAAAAAATACACACGCACTGAAGCTGCATTGCACGGAAAAGATGAAAAATCCTTAAAAAACAGTAAAACCCCCAAATCGGAAAACGTAAGTCAAAGAAATTGAAACTAAAGAGGTTTCAGAGAAAAACTACCTGAAATTTGTAGAGAAAACAACTTGTAGAAACCCTAAAAAATTAAGTGAGATTATCAAGATCAAGGCTCCCGGTCTCTGATTTAGGGGGAAAACAGACGGCTTTGATTTGATCAGAGAGATGAATGAGATCGAATAGGAACAGTTCTCTTATCTCATTTATAAATGGGAACTTGTCACTACCTCGGTTATGAAGTGTGTGTTTTTACTACTATATTTTTAGGGTAAATTATAAATTAATGGTCTAAACTATTATTTATGTTCCATTTTGGTATCTGAATTTTATTTTAAAATTATACTAAACATCTAATTTATGTTTTATTTTGGTATCTCGTAATTGAAAATTTAATGGTTATGTTGACATGTTATCATGAGATAAAGCCATAATATTATTAAAAAAATACGTCAGTGATTCTGTTAATTTTTTAACACTATATATTAAATTGAAACTTAAATTAAATATTAAATATTATTTTGAAATAAAACAAAGTTTATATACTAAAATGGAATTAAAGACCCTAGTTTTCGTTCAGAAAATTTTAAAATCACGAAATTACTCTCCGAACGACGGTGTGATTGATGTAACTGTGACACATGTCGAATACACGTGTGGGTGAGTTTAGAATTTTAGTTTTATTTTTATAAGAGGGAAAATCGAATCTAAACAGATTGTCAGATCTTTAACCACTTTGAGTTCATATATTAAAATTTTATTTATTTAATAAATAAATCCAAAATTATGCATGATTGAAAAAAGAAACAAAAAATTACGTACAAAGTAATTATCGTCAATTTTCCCAACAAAAAAAAAATCATCCTTACCCACTAATTTTTTTTGTCAAAGCTATATTTTTTGATCTAACATCTTCTGCATCTTATGTTGGTCTGGCAGCACGTGGGGTAAGACGCGCCCCTGGAAGCGCGCCTTGTTAAACGTGTAAAAAATTCAGATGTTAATTTTATAAATATTTTAAAATAGTATCTAATATGTAAGTAAATTCTTTAGGGTGATATTTGTGTAAAAATGACAACTTTATTTATTTATTTTTTTGAGTGAAAAAAAATTTTACATTAAAATCTTTAAATATTTTTTTGCAAATTATTTTATGACTCGATAAATTTTAATTTTTGCATGAAATTAAATAATACATATAATCTAGTATAGGAAATCTTTGAGGGTAAATATTTTAAAATATAAATAATTTTATAAATTTTGTATAACTATTATTTCTTTTTCAAAATGATGATGATAATAAATATTTTATAATTTAAAAAAGTATAAATTTTATATATTTTTTTTAAAAAAATTGACTTTATATTCTTTTTATATTGAATTTTATTCACTTTTAATTATTTTTTATTACATTTTTATACTTTTAATTACAATTGATAAATCAAATGAATTATTATTCGTTTTTTTAAATCAATGAATATACAATAAAAAAGAATTAAAAGTGAATAAAACTCAATAAAAAAGAATATAAAATTAAAAAAATATCATCTCTTTATTTAAAATATTATTTTTAATATTAATTTTTTAAAATATTATTTTTAATATTAATTTTTAAAAATATAAAATAAATATTGAATTCTAATTTTATTAAAAATGAATAAACATTATTAATTTTAAAAGTTTATTTTAATATTTTTTATATTTTTAAACAATTAATTTTAAAAGTCAATTTTTTAAAAAAATATATAAAATTTATAATTCTTTTAAATTATAAAATATTTATTATCATCGTCATCGTCATCATTTTAAAAAATAAATATTAGTTATAAAATTTTTATAAAATTATTTATATTTTAAATTACTTACCTCAAAGTTTTCCTATACTAGATTATATGTATTATGTAATTTAATGCAAAAATTTTACAATTGATAGATCAAATGAATTCTTATTCACTTTTTTAAAAAAATGTAATAAAAAAGAATTAAAAATAAATAAAATTCAATACCAAAAAAATATAAATTTAATTTTTTTTAAAAATAAATAAATAAAGTTGATGTTTTATATAAATATCACCCTAAAAAAAATTAATTACATATTAGACACCATTTTAAAATTATTTATAAAATTAATACTCGGATTTTTATACGTTTAACAAGACGCGTTTCAGTACGTGACTTACTATAAATGGTGTTAGATCAAAAAATATAATTTGAACGGTGTATGACAGAAAAAATGAGTGTGTAAGGGTGATTTTTTTTTTAAATCGCCGTAATTATCATATAGGATAGGCTTTTAATGCATATCAACTACATTTTAATAATTTATGGCGTCCACGAGATTATTATTATTTTTAAACAAAAAGTAAGTTGATTCTTTTTCTTGAATTGTAGGTGATTTTTAGGATAAACTACATATCTAATATTTAAATTATTTATTTTATTTTATTTTGATACCTAAACTTTATTTTTTTTAAGTATCTAATATTTAGTTTAGGGTTAGAGTATACCCAAGACTCAATTGAGATTTATATAGGAATTTACATATTGTCCATCAAGAGTGACGGTGGTAAAATTTGAACTTGGTCCTACAAACTTAAATTCCTGAATCGTAACCATTTGTGCCAACACTAGTTGGCATAAATATGTATTTTTTTTTGTTAAACAAAAATGTTTTATTTAACATAAAATGTATAGACTCACTTCTCAACTTTAAATTAGTATTTTATAAAAATCCATCAAGAAACAGTCCCCGTTAAAATTGTCATCCTTAATTTTGCTCAGCATCTAAATGTTTTACAAGAGCTTTAGTTTTGGAGAGAATTGAGTACACACATCAAAATAAAGAATCTATGAATCATGAAACAATTGAATCAAAATGCTTGAAAATCAACGTGGAAGATGATACATGATGCTGACATATAAGATTTAGTCATTTAAATTTTGGAGCAATTAAGATGCTTAATGAAAAGAATATAGTTAATAAATTTCTAACCATTAGTCATCCTAATCAATTATGTGAGATATGTATATTCAGTAAACATGCAAAATCATGTTTTTCAAAAGAAATAACATCAAGAAATTTGAGGAACATGTATATGTGGACTAGTCACTCCATTGTCATTCAATAACATAATGATATCTTTTTAACTTATTCATATCGATATATGTGGACTAATCACTCCAGTATCATTAAGTAAAATGTATACTTCTTGTTTTTCATTGATGATTATATTAGAAATATTTGAGTTTACTACTTGAAGCATAAATATGAGGTTTTGATGTTTTAAAAAAATTTAAAGCTCTTGTTGAAAAGGAGAATGGTTACGAGACAAAATCCTTCGGGTCCAATATTTTTTTATAAAATACGTGGAATTCGTCGTCCTTTGACAGTGTCCAGACCGTCACAACAAAATGATATTATGAAACGAAAAAATAAAACTTTTCTTGACATGGCCAATAGTATGATGGAGGCGAAGAGCATACTCAAAGAATTTTAGGTCAAAGTTATTTCATATACAATTTTTTTCTAGTCGCTCGCTAACAAAGAGTGGTTAACGTAACACCTCAAGAAACATGGAGCAGAAAAAAACCAAGTATAAGACATACTCAATTGTTTGGTAGCATTGCCTATGCGCATATACCAAATCAAGATAGGTCAAAACTTGACTGTCATAGTTCTAAATTTATTTTTATTGGCTATGACTCAAACTCCAAGGACTAAAAAATGTACAATCTAAGCAATGGGAAGATTCTTATAAGTCGTGATGTTGAGTTCAATGAACAAGCAATGACTCAAACAGTCTTTGTGTGCCAACGCGAGCTCACCTTTGCAGCTGCATTCCATCTTAAATGTTTATCCTCCTTCACATAGTTCAACCATACAAATTCGACAAACAGCCTCTTCTTCTGGTATGTCCTCGCCATCAGGGCCATTGTTTTCTGAACAATGAGATTTTCGTAAGACATTGCAGACAAAAGATTAAGGCTTTTAGTTTCGTGTCAAATCTGTTCAGACAAAGATCTTAGTCTAATATGAAGTGTTGATTTTATGGTTTAAGATTTCATTTCTGAGATCTATCTCAACTTTGCAAACTTTTGAACATATGCATAAACATAGATGAATACATACCAGCATCGGGTCCGTTTGAAGCATTTGAACTGATTTCTCCTTCCTTTACTCGCGGTGTTGAAGGGACCACTCGGAAGAACGAATCCATTCTCCTTAATTTTCCTTCTTTTTCGTTTATAGGAACTGAAAACGAGCGAGCTATCTGCAGCATGCTTCCCTTACTCTGCAAAGAAACTAACAACTTGATACCGACACTCAAAATCCTTTCACAGAAATGACTAACTTCAGAAAGGAGAAATCTAGGATATGCTATAGAGTATAGACAGTTTTAGATGTCCAATTAACACTCTCTTAATGGAACCATTCAGCGCTGAATGTTAAACCGTTCAGCATTCAGCGCATTTGTTTCGCAACTCTGAATGATTCAGTGCTGACTGATTCAACAAAACAGTGTTGAATGATTCAGCACAGAAGTACATTCTGAATGATTCAGCACAAAAATACATTCTGAATTATTCATAGCCATTATCAAACAGCATGTCATATTCAGAGCTAATTCATACAAAACCTCTGAATCATTCAGCGCTTAATCATTCTGAAGCAAACAAATAACCTCTAAGACATCACTTGGACAGGTCATTAGATTGCAGATATGTTATGTTGTGCAATAATTCGAGCAACAAACTAACGTGTCCCCTTGCATTTATGTCAGAGCCGAAAACCAACGAGGTTAATCCGAGGCTAAACACTCCAAATGTTTCACATTTCGCTGAGAAGCTCAATATTGTCATGCAAATCATTACAGTTGTAGAATCATTATTGTGCAAAACTCAGAACCAACCCACCAGATGAAAAAGATCTATAGTCCACAGAATTGTTAACTCATCCACTAATTATTTTTTTAATTAATTATTTATATCTGATATATTGATCAATTAATTTAGATTAAGTTTTGTAAAGATCTATTATGTGATGATCCTTATAATCTAATCTACTTCATTCACAAAAGTCATGATTTGAACTTTTTACCTTACTTAAGAGTCTAGTGTCTCATCCCATTAGACCAAGTGATTATTAGTACTCATCTATCAGTTTAAATTCAATGTTTGTACAAATAATTATTGTCTTTTTTTTTAATATTTTGACTCCTATCATTTCAAATTTTAGTTAAAACAAACCCTATTAGATAAAAATCATTAATTTACTAATGATCAACATATGTTGAAGACATGGTATTTTCACATGTTAGATATTATCGATGACAAATTTAGAGGTTAAAATGATATTTTATCTAAAGTTTGAAATCAAATTAATATTTTATCAAAAGTTTAGGGGTCAAATTAAAGTTAATCTATTTTAATTAATATGTCATGTCATCAAACTAACCAGAGTTAATAACTGCATGATTAAAATATAACAATCAGTAATGTAAGTAACTAAAATTTAATAAATTGATAATGTAAATAATTGAAATATGATTTTTTAAATTCGATAAGAAAAATATATAAATATAAAGCGAAAGTGATGAATAAATAGTTATCCCATGAAACTATCACCTTCCTATATGAAGAGTTTTTCCTAGGTAAACATTTTATAGGACGTCTTTTGCGTAAACTTATCCAAATTTACATCTTACCTAATAAGATCCTATCGTTATTGTCACCATTTATTATAACATTCAAACTTATTGGTCAAGTCAAAAGTTTAAAATGTCGCCTTTAGGGTATATTTTCAAGGAAATGCTCATCAACAAATAATATAAAAACATTGATACAAACTGTTCCATCGGGGCATGAACAACAAATAACATGAAAAGCAGCACAGAAAATTGACCCCAACAGTGATATCTACGAGTTTCTTTGGATTGTTATGATAAGAATATTAGACTAAAATTTATAATTATAGATACGTATGTATAATGTTATTATAAAATATGACACAAAATTAAATAATTAATTATGTTACATGTGTTATAAGTATTAAAGTATAGATAATATAAGTTATATTTGATTAGAGGCATAATTATAAATTCTTAAAAGATTAATCTAATATTTAGTCTATATAAAAAGATTATGATCTCAAAAAATAGGTTAACTTACATCACTCTTATCTCCGTTATAGCAAGAGAATATTCTATCTTCTTAGAAGATCATAATGAAAAAAAGACTCGAGGATTTTAATATATCAATTAATCTAAATTTACTTCTGCATCTAGCATTATATTTGATTTTATATCAAACTGCAATGACCTTTTGCATTTTGAAATTGAAATATTTATCCAAAGTTTCAGTTTCAGGGAAAATAACTGATTAGATTATGAAAGCGACGAAATAAATTGCATTTAAGAAGAATAAATGAATAGGGTGAGACCTGATATTGTCAAACATGTTAAAACAACCTCTAAATGACATTCGCTAACCCTAATTTGAAAATCATCTAACTTCCTACTTATTCCACTAATGTACACACTGAGAAACAAGGGGTTAAAAAAAAGACAATATGAGGGATAGAAGGAAGCTCCCTATTTGGAGCTTGCTAAACTGATAATGATGAAGCGGTCCCTATTAAGAAGACATTTCAGGTGGAATCACCACCACAGATGGTGGCTTTTTTTCTCATCTCTACCACCTTCTTATGGGAGTTGGAATGCAATGATGGAACAAATGTAGGACTAGCAGCGGGACGGTATTCTGGAAAGAGGCGGCCGGACCTGTAGCGAACCCCACAAGCATTACAAAGGGTCTTTGGACCCTTGGGTCCTTCTCTCCATTGTGGAGTTTTTGTAACTTCACAATGACTACATTTCCTAACAACAGGTTGTTGGGAGGGGGATTTGTCGATCTTACTGGAGCTAGAAAGCCATGTCAGGTTCTTTTTCTTCTGTTTCTTTTTGGCGGATTTCTCAGTTAGATGACTTTCTGATTCAGATTCTGAACCGACCAAAGAAGTAGGTCCTGTGGGGGTAGAGGAGGCGGATGATATAAAAGGCAATGAGAAATGCAGGTTAAAGGCAGATGCTCGTCTGCGCTTGCTTCGATCGCGCTTCACCAGGAAATGTAGATTAGGGTTGATAGGAACTGGCTTTGCAGCTGAGCAAGAGCTAGTCGTTTCAAGTACAGATACCGGACTAGAGGTATGGAACCAGATTGAACCTTTGACATCCACAGAATCTCCTTTTGACATAGTGCTTCTGCTGGAGGATGCTTTGGCAGTGCTTGCCCACTGGTTTAGATGTGAAGACTCATAACACTATATACAAAAAGCGAAGAAGAATTAAGAAAAATGTCGGATGTGAGGTTAAGGAATAATTTACTATCTCCTGTCAAAAATAAATTAATTTTAAAAATAAACATAGAAAGAAGTAAATAAAAGAGAGACCCTCCCATCCATTGCTTGAAAGGAAAACCAAGCCTCGATTAGGCCTGCTTGCTAGCTAGGACCAAAAGATGTACCAGTGTGAAAGCATTTGGTGTATCAATGCACATAGCATGCCATACGCACACAAACTCTTGTACTCTAGTGTGTGTCAGATATAGCTATGTATCCAATACAGGTATGATTTATACTTTTCTACGGTTTTACATGTATTTAAATGATCCTTGGAGATCATATCTCCACGTCTATGAGTTGGACACAAGCAGTGGACGACATAAATACTACAAGAAAAATGAAGAGTACGAACATCAGTCTGCAATAAATTGGATTATTGTCTCAATCTTTTGAACCATTTTCATTAATGAACAGTCACACAAAATAACCTGTGCTTTAAACAAGGCTCTTTCCAAGCATCCTTCACAAAATAACTTTGACAATAAAGTTATGTGCAAGTACTCACTGATTAAGAAACGCTTCATATCTTGGAAAATTACTTCCAAAACATCGCACCCTTTATTGAAGTGTGGATCAACATACTGCCCAAGGCCTATTAGTGGTTTCTTTCTAAGAATGGCACTGTGAGTGTGAGTGTGAGTGTGCACGTGCACATACAGTTATTTATTCACCAAGTAACTGGCACATGTTGATACACATCGTAGATTTGTATCCTCTAACAGTCTAACCCAAACCTAATTGATAGTCTTAGAAGTTAGAACACTAATCTCATACACACACAGACTTTCAGGATAAAGGCATATCAGCGTATGGTTAGCCATTCTATCAAAAAAAAAGCATATGGTTAGCCAAAGCACAGTTTTAGTCCCCATGCCATGAATAATATACAATGTGTCTCCAAGTAAATAAACTCCCCAACAAGTAGAATGGATTATTAATTCAACGAACAGGAACACAAAAAAGACCTCATATGCACAATTTGCAACCAAATTTTTACACTCATGTGTAACAAAAGAATCAATGTGCAATTACTTACAAGGACTCTAAAGTGCCACTTGGACCATGTGGAAAACATATAAGGTAGAATGACTTTCAAATAATTAAAAATCCATAAATATAGGCATAACTAGCGTGGGGGAAACAAATGTTACTTACAGAAACGGTAAGGTTATTCACGGAAGCATCACCCAAAAAATCGCCACAAAAGCTAGAAGACAAGCTGGCCAAAACACTAGCAGGGGGTGGCTCTAAGTTTTGAAAGTTGCAATCCCACTCTTCACCGCCAATACCATCACCATTTTTCTCTTCAACCTCACCAAGAGGCAAATGAAAATCTTTTACAACAGCTTCACTACAACCACCACCATCATCAGTCCCCTCAACATCTTCCAATGGGAAATCCAAATACTTAATTACGTCATCAAAGAAACCATCATTGACCTCAACCCCATCCAAGGCTTTGTCAAACCAAGAATTATTCATAATTTATTTTCTGATTGACTGTTCTTAAATTTTTCTGTTCACAAAATAAAAGAAAAAAATAAAAGTTAATTACTATTATATACAACCATTATAATAAAAAAACCACGCTTACAACGCTTTTAATTAAAGCATTTATAGAATCAGACATAAGTGGAAAGAAATTAATTAAAACGCGTTGGGGTTAGAAACAAGTTATTATCCCACTTGGAAATTAGCTCATCAGATATCTAACATTACGTTTTTTTTATCATTTTTATTACAAAACAGCAAATATTGAGCAATAACTTATTTATTTAAAAATAAATAAATTTTGAAGAAATCGAGGACTCTAGAGATAGTATTTAGGCCAAAATGGTAAATAAGAATAAAGATTCCTAATTAGGTTGATTTTACATATGGAAATAAATGTCTCTTTCTAGGTTTGCCGCTAAACAAGTAACTTCATTCACAAGACAATATTTTCATGAGCCGTAACTTCATTATTTATAAAATACAATAAAATATACTCCTTATAATTCATTAAAATTGTTTTTTAATTTTTTTCAAAATTTTTAAACTTTAATCCTAATTAATTTAAATAATTAAGATTTATAATATATATGTTTAAAAGCTACTTTATTTTAAAATTTATAAATAATAAGAAGTTAAAATTGAAAAAAAATCAGTCAATTTTAGTGTAAACTAATATCTAAGACAATAAAAAAATATTACAAAGATTTACATTTTGTATGGAAATAAATGTCTCTTTCTAGGCACGTCTACATTTTAACAGAGATTTTTTTTTTCAATAACTTGATTGGATACATGAAAAACAAAAATGTAGCAAATTGGAAGTCCTAAATATTAGTAAATATTTTTCAAAGAAGAGAGTGTAGTATCGTTTTCTTTCTTCATTTTCAGAGTTATTAAACAGAAAGCAGAGCTAAAATGAAGAACAGAAATGAAAAGAAATTACAAATAAATGCTAAGATTTAAAATCTTTTTACTCTTGGAAGACAGAGAGAAATAGAGGAAAAAAAGGAAAAGAGAAAGAGGCACCTGGATTCAAGGAGAAACTGAAGCAGAGGCATTGTTTGGATTAGAGGAAAATGAGAGAAAATGAAAGCGGAGAATAGGAGATGATATTACTGCGTCTGACCATTGGGATTTTTAGGGCTTTTGTGAGAGAGAGCAAAAGTTAATGTGGGGTGATGCTCATGGAGATGACTGTGCGGGTTCATCTTCCATCACCGCTCATAATATTTGCTCATAATATTTGTTTTAAGGGTAAATTATTTAGTCACTCAACGTGGTTTAGTTTTGGTCACTTAACTACTTTTTAAAATTATATTTAATATTATATTTTATTTTGATCACATATTTTTGAATATTAATAGTGATGTTGATGTTTTAGTATAAGGTATTGTCACATCATTATTAAATTTTTTTCGTGTAATTATTTTATTAATTTTTTAATAGCGGACGATCAAAATAAAATTAAAACGTACTATTATATATGATTTAAAAAATTAATTGATTAACTAAAAGAAAGTCACGTGAATAATAAATGACTAAATGAATACTTTACCCTTGTTTTAAAGAAGAAAAATAAAGGTTTGATTAAAACTTAAAATTCTGATATTATTTTAAAATTTATTAGCTTTTTTGTATGATAGATTATACATTGATATGTACCATTAATGGCATACATTGATTTGCATTATTAATATAAATTAAGATTAATATAAAAATTGATCCTTATATTTTTCTAAAATGATTTATTTGTCACATGATTTTTAAAAGTTACAAAATACACATTAAACTTTGAATTTTATTTAAAAAAATTAGGTATCTATTGTTAAATATTGTTAAGGAGGTAACATAACATGCTAAATCAATGGGAAATATCTTATTTGACTTCTCAATTATAACTAAAATTTCATTTTCGATTTTTCCCAATATTTCTAAACAATAATTTCAAAAGGAAATTAGAAAACTCATAAATCTTTTAAAATAATATATGAAAAAATATTTTTAAATTTTTTAAAATTATAATTTTGTGAATTTTTTATTCATAAAATTATTTTATAACTAATTATTTATTTAATTGTGGTTGTATTTTTAAAAACTAAAAAAAATTAATTATCAAACAATAAAATTATGTTTTATTAAGCGATGTGATTCAAGCATTTAACTTATGTTGAAGAAGTTTAAACATAATTTAAAAATAAATAAATCTGGAAAATTATAGTATCACATTAATAACAAAAATACATCCAAACTTAAATAAAAATAACTGAAACAATTCTTAAGTTTTAATAACGTATCAAGTAATTTATATGGTGAAAATTTAATATTTATAATATAAAACTAGAAATCAATATTTAACTTGTTTATATCTATTTTATTTTCAATTCAATGAACCTAATAGAAATTGTTTTAATTAAAATTAATAGTAAAATGAATTTTAATTATAATTGAATGATGAAATGAGATATTTTTTTATTAATTTAGCATGACACCTCATCTTTTTAATGACAAATATTGGTGTTGAACATATTTTGTAACAAAATTTAAAATCTAATACCCGTGATGTAACTTTTGAAAGTTTGGTATTTAGAATGATCATTTTAAAATATTTAATGTCCATTTATAAATTTTATCTTATAAAATTAGTGGAGGTATGACTTCAATTTTAGAATTTTCGTGGATTTAACTGGAAACAAAATCTCTAAAACGGTAACTATTAAGCGGTGGGATTAAATTAATTAAAGGGTAAATTATAAATTTAATAACTGAATTTTACTTTATCATATTTCACTTATTATACTTTTAATTTTTTTAATTAACTCACTCAACTTTATACATTTTTTTTCACTCCACTGTTTTTTACTAACACCATGATTACATGGCTTAGTTTAATATTAAAATTAACAAGATTTATAAAAAATAATAAAATAGAATAAATCACTACTGAGGACAAAATTAATTCCACCATCGTTGTTGCGGGTTTTATTTGATCATTATGCTTCATCTTCTTTCTTCTGACGAAGCTCCTCCAGGCTCTTCCTCTAGGAATAATGCCGCCAAGTGGCTTGGATAAAGCAAGCTGCCCAAGTCCTCCATTGATGTGAATGAAACTATAACATATGTTGTACCTGTCTACTATAAAGATGCCTAAATTGACCGACAACGAATTTTAACTTCTCAATGGTAAGGGCAAAAGCTTGGACCTCAGTCGAAGCTCTCATCGTTAGAATAGATGTTAGAAAGTTGACGTCGGTTTTGGGATCCAATGCCCTACTTATAAGTTCCTCTCCACAAAAATCTCCCTCTCTAAGAAAACTACAATTGAAAAACTTACTCCTTCCACCGTCTATTGTTATACTCTCAAGGCGATCACAAATAATGAAAAGCGTCTCATCAACAAGATACACTTATCGGATTACGTAAGTGATATCAGTAAAAGAATATGGTTTAAGTGGTTTACAAATGTCATCAAGCAATCTCTCTTACATACTCTCGAACAGAGAAACCTACAAAATACTCTCAAACAAAGGAGCCCACTACAACATTCAAAAGGAATCCACTCTCCACCTCGTTTCTTCGTCTCCAACGTAGTGCAAAGAAGAAAAAGACCCATTTGCTTCCAAGCCTCTTTATCTTTGTTATTTGTTCTTTTACCCTAATTTTTAATTATTTTCAGAAGGCTGCTGCGGTCTCGCTCTTGTCGAAAGATTGTTGGGGTGTGGCTAGTAACCTTTGGTCGTGGAGTTGGATAGTTTTCTAATCGGGGGAGGGATTGAAGTTGGGGGTAATAATATTTACCTATTTATTAATCATTTTCCTTTTTTTTACTAATCTTTTAACAATTTAAAAAATATTTACATAATCTACGTCATAACACCGTTTGAAAGTTAATGGGAAAGTGATAAAAAAAATAAATGTATAAAGTTGAGTGAGTTAATTGAAAAAATTTAAAATACAATTAGTGAAATATGAGACAAAGTAAAGTTCAGTGAGTAAATTTATAATTTACCCTTAATTAAAAGGGTGAGATAGTGTAAGTTTAGTTTTCGGCCAATTCATCTCAACTCGAAAAATTATATTTTCATTCAAAATTTGATTTAATATGAATTTACGCCGATTTCATCTAATATAAAACTCGACTCGTATTTTGAGATAAATCTGCATTCGGTTTGACTCAATCGATATATATATATATATATATATGTATAATTCTTAAATTTTTTTAGTAAAAGATAGTTATAATTGAAATATATTTTTTTTAATAGATAATTGATATATATATATATATATATATATATATATATTGATATTATTGCAATTATCATTAAATGTATAAATTATAATTACATTATTTACTTTTAATTTATTTACTCTTAAATACGACCTTATAACATTGAGTCAAATCAAAATTAGTTGAATTTGAATCTTATACTCATCCTTAGATAATAATATCAAGGAGTGGGATTAAGTTAATTAAAATGGTGATAATAATAATAATAATGAGCAGAACTAATCTAAAAGGGTTTGAAAAGAAGGAAGAGATCACTGACGAGATGGAGTGAGTTGGATTTTTGTATTGCAATAATTATTTAGTTGTAGCTTCTCACATGATGTGGTCCCTTTTTTTCATTTATTTTTTTTAATTTTATTTATTAATTTATGGTAAATATAAAGTAGCTTCTTTTCTTTTAACAGAACGTAAGATTTTTTTTTTACAATAAAGCAAAGATTTTAAGCAAAGTTTTTTAGCAAATATTGAGTGTTCATCTCCAAGCCTTCATGTCAGCTTGAATTAGCAAGCGGATAGCATCAGGTTACTGCCATTTAGACAACCCCACAGGTATCGTATAACCATAGCGGGCAAGGTCATCAGCAACGCCATTGGCTTCTCGGTGTATGAGATGAAACTTAACCGTCCAGCTACGCGATAACAGATCCCGTAGTCTTCGAACAAGGGTCGGTTCATAACTTTGACTGGTAGCGGTTAGCAGCTGGGTAGCTTCAGCACTGTCCATCTCCACCATGATACGTCTAGCTCCATAATCCCATGCCAAATGAAGACCGTCGAGAAAGCCCCATAATTCCGCGTGGAGCACAGAGCACTGTCCTATGTTTCTGCTATAACCCATGATCTATTAACCGTCATGATTGCGAAGAACACCACCAGCAGCTACTCCCATGGATCTTTGTTTTACAGCCCCATCCGAATTGATTTTAACCATTCCGGCACTAGGTGGTTTCCAAGGTTTGTTCCTAAGTCTTCTGCTAATTCTCTTGAGGTTGTCCTTCGGTCTGGAAGAGATTGACGGTGCCCAAGAAAGAGAAGACTGGATTATCTCCACTGAGGACCAGCTCACACCTTTGAAGATATAGTTGCATTGTTGCTTCCATAATTTCCAGAGCATGATTCCGAACAGGTGACTCCACCGGTAATTACCTCCGTCTGTTCCTGCGATATGGATTAAAGTTAGTACTCAGCCAGTCAATAAAAGAAAGAGACAATAAACTCAATGCTTTGTGGTTCAGCAGAAGCTGCATCCAAACGTTCTTGGCAACTGAACAATCCCTAGGGACATGAAGAATAGTTTCTTCACACCCCCCCGCAAACTGGACAGCTAGGGTCAGCCGATAAATCTCGTCTCGTTCTCTCCACGTTGGTTAACAACTTATTCCTTAGATTGATCGAGCCAAATGAAGTTTCTGACCCGTTGAAGTCCATCAAAAGTCCAAGCTAAGTTCCATATAGTATCCTAACGATCCCAAGAACCACGACGAATTACATGGTAAGCTGTCTTGACCGAACAATCACCCGAGGGCTCCCAACACCATATAGGGTGATCATCACCGGCTTCACTAGTGGGAGGAGGAATCGCAGTAATGTCACAAACAATATCCTTAGCCACAAGGCGACGTAACTTATCCAAATCCCAATTCCCCTCAGTGTTGATGAATTTGTTAACCTTAGCATTAGGATCACTAACAAACGTGTCATTAACCCGGTCAGCAATTGGACAGTGCCCAGGAATCCAAGCATCGGACCAAAATCTAGTGTGAGCGCCAAACAAAGGAACATTTCCTTGATTCAATCTGATTGGGGCAACAAGTTCTGATTTTATATTTCGAC